GGGGGGGGGGGGGGGGGGGGGAGCTTCGGGGTAGAGACCTCAGGGATGTTTAGGTAAAGTTTAGGGTATATACGGTATATGGCGTAATTGGGATAAAGTTTAAGTGGAGGGCATCAAGGACTGGCATGCAAAGGCAATTGATGAAACGATGTCGCTACAGTATGCCACGGGCTTGTAACCTTCATCACGGAAGATCGCACATCATGACCCATCCCGGACTCTCCGTGTCAAACGATCCAAGAGTGCCGTTCCGAACTGAGCCGAACCCGATCCAAAAACCATAGGCAGCATACACCAAATGCTCGATACTTATAATGACCGAGGCCCGACCATCCTCAAGGCCCAAGACAAGTTTCTGGGCCGTCTCTAGGTTGTTAGTACACACGGACAGGTTGAAAGCTTAAAGTCTTAAAGGTTGGCCCACAGCTCTAAAACCCACAGGCAGACACCCAGCAGAACCCCAAAAAAGCCGGGCAAAGACCTTTGGACATCTGGGCACCCAGCGCAGGGCTTTGGAGGCACGAAATGGATTCGCAGCAATTTCTGGGCAGCTTCAGAATCAAAACTCGTTTTGGGTCGTCGTACTCGTTACTTCAGGACGTGGGTTTATCACTTACTTATTCCTATATATCGTATATCTTGGTATATGCAGACTACTATAGTCCATTATCGTACAATTGTTAGTTTTCGGAGAGTATAGTCTGTATTTGATCGTGCTTTGTTTGTCCATCCCCGTCTGTGGCTTGAGATGTTTGCCATGGAACGACGGCAGACATCGCTCCGCTGCTCGTTTTGAGAGGTCTTGCAGATCATGCTCCGACAGCTCATCCCTCGGTTAGGGCTTAGGGTTCAGGGTTCNNTTGGGGTTCAAGGTAGGGTTTAGGGTTTAAGGTTAAGGGTTTAGGGTTTCGGGTTTGGGGCACCACCAAAACCAATTCAGCCCAAAACCCAAACCCCTGCAGTCAGGTGCCCTCGGTGCTAGGCTCGGGGCAGCAACGCGCTTGTACTGACATCGATGAATGCGGACCATCTGCTTCAATCTCTTCAGGTGAGCCTGGCATGCGTTTGAATTTGGGGGTTTTGAGAGCTTTGTAGTACGTGGGGTGAGGGTCAGGGGTATGTGTATGGGTCTACTACGGCTGGTGCATATACTACTTCATATGTACTTGTCGAGCTTACACCGCCTGAATGGGGGTGCCTGTCGCCACTGAGCTTGCAAAACGCGAGTCCCTCGACTCTACCCAACCATAAGGGAAACACTGAAGTCGAAAGCCCAAGACGCCAGCACATAAACCATCCCGATGGCCTGGCATGAGCAAATCATATGTTTGTATTGTGAAGCGTGTCCCTGCCCATGTGTAGACTTCACGACGCGTTGACTTGAAACTATTTGTTCGAGTGCCCCTACGAAAACAGACCTACCAAACCGGTGGACCCACCACGCAACAGTCACCAATCGTACCCCCGAGAAGCCCTCACTCGTTGCTGGATCCCAAAAGACCTGAGCCAGTCCGGATCTGGTTGGTATCCAACAAATCCTCCAAACCCTGCAATCCTGTAGCACAACGCATCACTTCACCGAATCTGGCAGTTTTCTGTCCGCATAAAAAAAGCTACGTAGAGTCTTTGGCAGCTCAAAGGTATAGGGTTCGGAGTTTTCCGGTTTAGGGTTTAGGGTGCAGGGTTTAGTACAACAAGCATCATAGCAAACTGGCCTTCTAGACCTGCGAGCATTTGACTCCTGCGCCCTGACCCCACTGGAAGAACTTGATAAAACAAACCGGCTCTATATCCCCAATGGGCTGAAAGTTCATAGGGTTTATAAGGCCAGTTTATAGGGTCTATAGTGCAGTGCATGATCCAGAACGAAGGGGTTTTCTTTCATGAGGTTCCTACATCGCCTCTATAACCCTAAGGCTCAAAATAGCCCAAAAGCCTTATATAGTATGGTCTTTGGGCCCAAAAGCCTCATAATATTAGTCCTTAGAGCCTTAGGGTAAACCTGCATCTCCCCAAGCCGGCGCGCCGGCGTCTTCTTCGACTTCAGGTTACGCTGGCCCCACTGACCTATGCAAGGGCTTCGGGTTCAAACCTGTCCCTCCGAACCTAAACCATTAACCCTAAACCCTAAACCTAAACCCTAAACGCTAAACCCTAACCACTAAAGAGCCTTGAGAGGAACCCTACAAAGGAACCTCATATAGAACCTTTGGAGCAAGGCGCTCGGACTTGGAGTTCACTCAGACGTTCAGTGCATTTGCGGTAGACGTAAAGTCCCTTACGGAAAGCACGAGGTTCTGAGGTATCTGTAGGGGTTTCGGCTTCTTCTAGGGTCCTTGCACCCTAAACCCTAAACCCTAAACCCTAAACCCTAAACCCTAAACCCTAACGATAACTTGTTACAGGGTTCTGGGGATTTGGGGGGCCCGGATCTTCAGGGTTTCAAGGGCTCCGAGGTTTTAATATAGGGGCCTTAGTAATTAGAACAGGGTTTTGGGGGTATATGATACTATAACTATAGCAAGGACACCCCGAAATAGCATGGGTAATTATGAAGGCCCCTATAGTAATTCAAGGGCTGGAGGGTTCAGGAGTTCACGGTTTGGAGTCCAGCATTCGGATTTTCGGTGCCTTAGGGTGCATTTGTGAGTGTCAAGGAACTGATGAGTGGAACTTTTGGAACTTTCCCTTTTCAAAAGCACCTGTAACTCAGGACCTAGAAACACTGTTTCATCGTCAAACCTGGTCGCGTTTCAACCTTCCGTCCCCCGTGAGATCGTTGCTATGGGTTGCGTGCGGTACGGAAAACAAAGTCAAAAACCTCCAACCCCAGAGTAGCCCTAACTTTGCCCCACGTGCACTCTTAGCCCCAAAGATCCGCAATATAGGGGCCTAGACAATTAGAATAGGGTTTGGGGTCTATCCTACCAGAAAAGTTAGCACAAGGAACCCCAAAACAGAATTGGTAATGGTTCAGGTCCCTATATTAGCCCCCTAAACCCCCAACCCCCAAATCCGACATCCAAGCGGCGTCGCCAGACGGTGATCCGACCCGATGGCTCGCGGCGGATGAGGAAGCGCTGCTTCGCGGCGCTGTTGATCCTGATCGTGTTCCGGGTTTAGGGAAGGGTAATACCCCCATACAAGTTGACCCCAAACCCTAAACCCCAAAGCCCTAAACCCCCAAAAAAGCTGAAGGTTACCTAGTTTAGTACGAAGTGATCGTGATCCGACTTGAGCCTTTTGGCTTCGGGATCCAGGGCTGAAGGGTTTCATGCGGGTGTTGAAGGCGTCAAGAAAGAGAGGGTCTAGGGCTTCGGAGTATCGACAAGGACGTGCAAGCGGCTTAACATAGGGGCCTTCATAGAATAGGGGTATACTACATTTATTGTAGAGGAACCCCCAAAATAGTATAGGTAACTATTAAGGCCTCTAGATTAATCCTGTTCTTTTGCAAGGAGCACGACGCCAACCACCTCCTCAGCCAGGGTAATACAACATACGATCGTGCATACTGCCTGCGAAATGACTAATAAAGAAATCAGGCTATGAATTATCCTGAGACTCGATATAAGTATACAGTATACTATTACGTCACTTGTGACAGAAGCATCACCCCTAAACCCTAAACCCTAAGCTGCACCTCCTTCCACGCGACCACTCTTTGAGTGTGCGGTCGCAGATGCGCACGTGGGGCCTGAGGAAAGGGACCTAAACCCAAAAACCAGAATCCTAGATCCTATACATCCTAAATCACGCTTTCGGATTCAAGGTGGGGGCTTAAGGTGTGAAGGCGTGGGGCTTAGGATTTTATTCAGGTATAGCGAAACTCCCCAGACGAGTCTCGCATATTTCGGTCACCCAAGGCCTAGAACAAACCCGGGCAGCACCATAGAAAAGTGCTTCCTAAATCTTCACCACGACGCCTCGATTCCTTGACCCTAAACCTTGCCGAAACCCTTTTTGCCTCAATGCTCCCAGCCTTGTATGGACAGGCGTCCAAAGTCTTCCAAATGCCCTACTTGAGGACAATTGCTCAGAGTTTCTCATGTAGGATTCTTTGGACGACAACGTCAACCAACTAGCTAAGTGACTAGCAGCTGGCTGGCTAGCTTTCTAGTTAGCTGGTTTAGGGTTTAGGGTTTAGGGCTCAGGGTTGTGTACCTACCTGACTGACTGGCTGGCTGGCTGATTTGAAAAACGAACCAAACAGCAAACCTACTGGCTAAATGAATACATCAAGAACCCTCATCCGAGATATATACCTAAATGACTAGATTGTCCCTTACAGCACTCTGAAATAGCTTCGTGTATCAGAGCCTCATAAACCAAAATATACAATACAATATCTCACTGGCCTACTTACTTACATACGCAGGGATGTCGAATCAAGCTCACCACTTCTTGGACAACAGACGTGGCCTTATAGCACACCCTTCCATGGGAACCCGCTGTATGGAAGGCGCCATAGCCGATCTGTCAATTCTTCATTATAGGTCGTAGCAATTCTTCATTATAGGTCCTGAAGGACTGCGCGGTATCCAGCCTGCGAGGCACCTGACCCATGCCAACGATGGACTCGATGTCAACTGGACCAGATCAAGTCTGGGGACTCACTTTGGGGAGGCAGAGAGTTTGGGGCTCCGGGGACTGCAGTTCTTGGGTGTGGGTTTAGGGTTTAGGGTTTAGGGTTTAGGGTTTAGGGTTTAGGATTTAGGATTTAGAGTTTAGGGTAAGGTGCGTCAGCTTTGGGGTTTACATGTTCACTCAGGAAGTCTTCTCATTTGCTGAGTTGACTGGCCAAGGAAGGTTAGCCTTTTGATCATGGTCGGCTTGCAGAACACAAGCAGGCTAGAGCCCGAAACCCCAAACCCCAAAACCGCTTAAAGTTACGGTTTAGGGTTTAGGGTTTGGGGTGTAGGGTTTAAGGTTTAGGGTTTAGGGTTTTCAAGTTGACGGATCGGCTTAAGGCTTAAAGCAGCAAATTCCCGAACCGGGTGTGGGGTTTACGGTCCTTCAGGTCTCAGGCGTCGGCGCGTTTAGGGTTTAGGGCTTCGGGGCGCAGGCATCAAGAGCAAGGTCGAGGGCCTAGGGCTGGGATCTGGAGTTTAGGTTTGAGCTCGGGGTTTAGGGTTCAGGGTTTAGGGTTTGGGGTTTAGGGTTTAGGCTTCGAGGTTTTGGGGTTTAGAAAGTTTAAGGTTTTCTGGTTCACGAAACCCAGGGCATTAAAACTGGGGGGGGGGGGGGGGG